GTACAGATCTTGTGACTGTGAAATGTAGTTTAAACATTTGTCAACAAGTTTGTAGCAATATTCGTCAATTGATTAAGCATTTAAAATCTCATATTGACTCTGATTTGGAGGTGAAATGCCCTTTTTGGTCTTGCTCAAAGATATTCACACATGCACCTTTATTATTGGAGTGATTATTGATTTCATTATTTTTCAATTTATACAGTCTGTATATTTGTTGGTACATCAGCATTTATTTAAATTTATATAAGCCTATCCCAACAGTGATGACCATAGTAGAATACTATTGCACAATTTCATAAAATGTGTTTTTTTTTTTTTTTCAACTTGATCATTATATAAAATTACTTTATTTTATTAAATATTACATCATTTCATGTAAGCAAACAAATCAACTTTTACATAAGTCTCTATTAGCAACCATCTTCCATAAACAACAACATTTTTTGATTAGGATTTTTTAAAAAATTGCCTAAAATTATTTTATATTTAAAAAAAAATTGATATTTATGATCGGCATGATCGAAGTTTACGTTAATTTCTGTCAGTCTGGACCATCAAACACCGTAATTTTACAATTTTCTAAATAGTACAGAGTTAATTATTTCTGAAGTTTACAAAACTTTTGAAGCTTCAAACTCAAGGCCTACATGCACTAATTTAGTTTCATAATTTTTTTTTTATCTTATTTTCATATATTTTGTTGATTTACTAATAGGACACAATTGCTCCAAATGAATTTGACACAGAAACCCTACCTATTACTCCATGTATAATATGCCAAGGTAAGCCAGTTACCTGCGACAACCTAACAAGTATATAGCATTTTGCTAGTGAATGTCAGTTTGAAATTAGATCAATATAGTGCCAAAACGTCTAAAAATGTATTGTCTCTTGAATCAATGAAACAAATATTTTTGAAATTTAAATGAAAAAAAACCCATAACTTATACAGTATACAGATTTGTTTAACAAAAAAAAAAATAAAAAAAAAAATACAATTGTTTTCATCACCACACCACACACAAAGATAGAGAGATGGTGATGCTTCATGTATACATGATTTTCAAGTCACTAACTAAACTGCCACGCTGTCATTTTAAAAATTTACTGATAATAAAGTAAATTGGTTGAAACAAGGCAATTCAACACAAGGATGCACATTTTGGGACATCAAAGGAAATAACTCTGGCATCGACATTCTGCGCGCTGCACTCCCCATAGCATACATACCATAATAACCATCAGCGTGTGTGACAAATTACCCAACGCATTGTCAGTTGCCATGATAATCGCGTGTTGTGTGGAGATTACAAAGGCCTAATGACTTTTTGCATAACGGTTAGACTTTCATGTCACCTACACTTGGTTTACTATCTTATATTTATTTTTGTTCACTTGATCTTGAGAATGCGTCCATGATGGACACGAAACGTCGATCCTTTTTGTCAATAAATTTTGTGTTAATGTTTTAAATTGGCACTTTTTATTGCTGTACTTTTCGATTTGCTATAGATTTTGAATGAAAGTCCTATAAGTTAACATTACTATTAGGGCCAACCTCAAAACACAGTCTATTTAAATAAATATAGCAAACTATATTCGACACAGACAACTCCATGGTAAAAAGTGTGTTTTAATTTCAAGTTTCGCCTTACAGTATTTACAAAATCTCTCAACAATATCTAATAGTAACTCAATTTTACCCGTAAAAATATGCTTAAATACTAGTTAGTTATTATTAATACTTTTGATTAAAGAGATTCTTTAAGAGATTTGTCAAGATTCCATACTTTAGATTTCTATCAGAAACACAATCGCACACATCATAATACTAATTTAAAATTATTTGAAACATGGAAGACAATTCAAATACTGTATTTGTCGAGCCAAAAACTTTTATATTCAATCCTTGAATTTCTTACTTGAGTTGTAACTGTTAATTGCAAATTAGCCAAAGCATATAAAAATATTTTTCTATACCCACTGCTTACACATTCTTCAATTACTTTATTACAAAATAAGCAAAAAAGTACATATATTGATCTGTTTTATACATAGTTCATTGATAACTTCTTAAATCATTTTTTTAACAATTCACCATTCCAACTACAGTGTATCTTTATTGCCTACCTTAAATAGATTTGCTCCAAGTTCCTCAATATTTTTTTTTCAATTCTACTGTACAGCCACCACCCCAACCCCTCCTACCTGCAAGCAAAGTGAGGAGTGGGATATCGACGGGGTGTGCACATCCCTGCAAAAAAGCTTGCACCCCCAGTTGTACCATAGGGCCCAACATGGTGCTGTTTCAGTTGTTCAGAATTATAAGCAAAATTGGCTTGGGACCTCGGCTAGACTTCACTTACGTTCTCATTGCGCCTTTGTTCAGATATTGAACCGAAACTCCTATGGAATAACTTATAGGTTGCTCCTTTATAAACAGAATCTAACTGGTCCATTCCAATGTCCACATCCTTGAAGCCATTTCTCAAACCTTCTCGTATAAGTGTTGCAACTCGCTTCGACAAAAGCGTATGATCGTCAGAAACAAGAATGTCCTTAACCTTAATCCACTGAGCATCAACCAGCTCTGATTCGCAAGCCTTGATGTCAAAAGTTAACGGTTTTAAGCGACAAACAAAGTAGAAATCGGATCTACCAAAGTTATAGGGCAGAGAATGTTGTTGGCGAAATGCAAGTACCGACTGGAATTCTGTAAGGAAAACAAAACGTTTTTGTGTATTATAAAAGTTATAATCCACTCAGTTATTAAAGTTATATTGTGTACTGTGGTAAACTATGAGAGAAAATTTTAAAATATACTTTAGTATATTGAATTATTTTAGTAATAAAGTTAACCCTCCAATACGAGACCACCTTTGGGACCTTGAAATCTGAGGTAGTCTCAGGTTTTCGGTCTTTACTTTTGAGAATTGGCTTAGTGTTAAAAGGTTGGAGATTGTTGTCCTTTGCAAAAGCGATCTCAAATTAGAGCGTTCTCGGAATTAGAGGGGTATTTAATTGGAAGGTGCACTGTATAAACTATTGAAAGCTTCCAGAGGTCCTAAGTTGGAAGGAATCACTTCTGGGAGGCCAGGTTAAATGAGCTTTCTCAGGTTAAAATTTTCCCCGAGCGGTATTGGGTAAAGACAACTCGATTTCTTGCTTCGAACAATGTACCCATTCGTAGAAGTCTTATGAAGATAAGCCTATCCAATAGTGACGTATAGGGTACCTTTGACTATAAATTGACAAAGAATAGATAAAATAATTTTAAATGCAGACACAATGTATACATAGAGACTAGCCTTGAAACATAAAAAGGGGTGTAAAATTATAAATAAGCTTATAATGAATGTATGTGTAATTAATCTATTAATTTTCAAAAAGGATAACGCAAAATAAAGAGGAATAAAGGGAGGAAAGGAATGAAACTAGGAACAACTCAAATTAGTATCTAAAATTATATAACAATGATAATCGCACATTAATACATTTTACATGTCTGTAGTGAATTTTAGGAACTAATCATCAGAGGTCAAGGTGCCAAGCCTATCACATTTCAAACATACAGTATCTAATTTCATTTTCTGCACATACTGATACCCATCTATACTGACTTCCATGAGACAATTAAAGCATTGAAATCATGCAAATACTATGAATTTTAAGCCGGGAAATGGGTTTTTTTCCGGGAGATTCTTGCTTGCTTAAGTGTGTGCGGAAGACAGTCCTGATTTTTGGCAAGACTTACGACCCCTGGGTAACTACATAAATCCCATCTACAAAATACCTATCTACCTGTCTGGATGTTGGTTTCCTCAAAGACTTCCCTGACGGCAGTTTCCGATAAATCTTCTCCTAGATTTGCATACCCTCCCGGAAATTTCCATCTTGAAATCTGTAAAAAAATATATATACCAAAAAAATATCTCAAACTTCAATGCTGGATTCAAAATATATTTTCTTCAAAGAAAATATTTTTCATTGAATACAATGCTAAGATAAAATAATAAAAATAATAATGTCATCTTATTAGGCGCATGTATCCATCTCTTGGTAGAGCTGCTCGTGGCGCCGTTTTCCACCGGCAGTTTGTACATGTAGCCTTTTTTCTGCATTATTATTTTGAAATAATTAATTTGATTTCAATTATTTATTTATTTTTATGTATATTTATTTATGACAGACCTGACATGGATGGGAAAAATAGGCAAAATAAGATGTATATACTCTTCGGGGTCACCATCCATCACCACCCTGGCGCATTCCCGGACCTCTGCCTAGGTGGCTCGAACAAAGGAACGGGAAACACATTTGCCCTGCCACAGACAACCGGGTGCTCAGGAGTTGTAATCGAAAAAATGGCCTAAAAAAATGAATGCTGGCCCGTGAAAGACGGTTATTGTATTTAATCAAAAAGAGGTCATGCTGTTTTTGTCAAAATATACTTAATTTATATATAAGAATTTATATATTCCTAATTTATAGATTTACTGTAGGTAGACTACAGAGCATAATATTTATATTTTCTGTACTTTTGTTTTATTTGTGTTTATTTTTAAATATTTGTCTTATTATAAGGATGCACTGTTCACTATAAACATGTGCCACTAACCTGAAGATGTATATCCAAACAAATAAATCAATAAAATAAATAAGTACAATTGTGAAATAATAATGAAGTGGCAGATGCAGTTTTCTATTTTGCTGGGGTGGCACGAGTGGGCTATGGTCAAGAGGGGAACCGTATTTTAGAAAGAGGGTGATTTAGGGGTGTACAAGTGCTCCTATTCGCATCCCTATATACGGATATTAATCGTGCCATACAAGGTTTTTGATTTTGACAATCTTTCATTGTGAAGGGGCGACTTACTCGATGTTTGTCTTGGACCATTAGTACCTCTTCTGTGTCTTCATTTAAAACAAAGCCTTAAAAAATATAGAAAACAATAATCCTGATCTAAAAAAAAAATTATGTTTTTCTATAGATATCATTCTTGAAGTAATATTAAAATCAGGCTCCGAAGGAAAAAAAATGGTTATATGTTAAACAACTGATTTTTCTATGACATGAAAAGCATATATATAGAAAAACTAGTTAGCAGTTAATGAGATACAGATTTTTTAATATGTAAATAAAGATTGGAGATTGTTGTTCTTTGCAAAAGTGAATCAAATTAGAAGGGTCTCGGAATTTAGATGGTATTGAATTGGGAGGTGCACTGTATAACCTACTGAAAGCTTCCTAGTTTACCAGCATATTTGACAAAAAAATCTGGAGCAGAGAATGAGATACAGATTTTTGAATTTGTGTTAAAAGATTGGAGATTGTTGTTCTTTGCAAAAGTGGTCTCAAATTAGAGTGGTCTCAGAATTTAATGAGATACAGATTTTTGAATGTTTAAAAACTTGGGGAAAAAATGTGTGAAAAAGGGTGGTTATGCCCCTTTTCCCCCATTTTAAAAATATTCAAAAATATGTATCTCATTTACCGCTTCCAAGTTTTTCGTCAAAGATGCTTTTGTGTCTTAAAAAAAAAAATCAGTTGTACAGCATATAAAAAATTAGTTTTCCTCCGGAGCCTGACTTTAAACATATTTTCTGTCACCTGATACTCCTAGCTGATGCGTGGCATACATGGGTACTCTGCTAGGCTCCTCTCCGAGCCACTTGTTCAACATAGTGTAGTCGCCCTCCGCATGATGCAGCTTAAAACCCTGTGCAGCTGCTGTTTTGATCAGGTGACTGGATTCTATTGGTACTTTCAACCAGGCACATGACCGCCTGTCATTCCTCCATAACTTTAGAGAATCTGAAAGAAATATAAATACATTATTATTACCTCTGTCAAAGGAGGTTTAATATGTATTCACTGTTGTCTGTCTTTTTCATGTCTGTCTGTTAGCAAGATTACGCAAAAAACTAATGAATGGATCATCACAAAATGGTATATAATATTCGAAGAAAGTGATAATCAAGTTTAGGGAAGAAGAGGTCAAATGACAAGTTAAAGGTCATGGAAATTCATTTTTTTTTTAATACAAGCATTTAAGAAAATAATGGAATCACCCATCATATATGGCCTGCTTATTGTTCGGTATCCAAGGCACCGGGTAGAGATATGCACCCCATAGAGTGATGTCTGTAATTGTTCTTGGTGGCAGTATTATTTTTTATTATTTGTTATACTACTTTCATATGTTTATACTGTTAAGGTTGTATCTTATCCATATAGTTTTTTTTTTTTTTTTTTTTATGTCGACTATTGTAGAACATGTATTTTATTTTTAGGCCCCAATTTTCTTTCTCCAATCTCCTTTTAACAAAATTACTCTGATTTTCTGATGTGCATGCAAAAATGCACTGTGCGAACTCACCTGCAAGTGCAATGCCGAACTGCCATGGTTCTGGAAATTCTAGCCAAGTGGCTGGCAAATTTGATATATTAACTGTGATTCCGTTGAATCTGTCTACATCCCCAGATAATATTGCACCACCTCGTTGTGAGCAGTCTCTCTTGCGATAAGCAATTGTTTGTAGATGTCGCCTACATACAAAATTTTGAATTCTGCAAAAAGCTTGCATATCTGCATACATTAGAGAAAGGGGGAAACCAGACTGTAAAAAATAAGTGGTAGTCATCATTTAATTTTTAGAACTAATAATAGGCTATATGGATAACAATAGTAAATTTGGGACAAGATCAAAAATATTTTATAACTTAACTGTCCAATGTCTAGGAACTTGAGTTTTGGCTTCGGCTAGGCTATTTATTATATGGCTGTGGTGTAGACCTAGAGAACCAGACAGACCCTACCTGTCAAGATCGCCTTTCAAACTCAATCAAGCTTTTTTACTAGCCTATTATAGGCCTAGGTATACGTTTAGGCCTCTAGGCCTAGCCTTTGGCAAGGGCAAGGTTAGCTTGTTGACGACGCATCGACGATCGTATGCTTGGCCTATATACTACTACTGGTAACTTAAATTCTAGATTAGACCTAGGTGTGAAGAATAGACGGGCTTTCATGATTAGATTAGGTTTAGATAGGGCTTTGGACATTTCATGACAGACTTGTTATTACAGTATATATAAAATTGTAAAAACATACCAGCGCCGCCGTGCGTGTACGTATGTTTTCTGCGGTCTGTTGGTGCTGCTGACGGAAGTAAAGCTTGTTAAACCTGTGACCTTTAAACCAAGCGGTTAGAGGTTATGACAGAATGTAAACGCCATGTGGGTGTTTGACAACTTTTTCTTGGCCTAAGAACTACTTACTCTCTATTCTAATCGCCAAGGGCCTATGGGCCTAGCTAAGGTCTTGTGCAAAATTATTAGCGTTAATTCAGGTTTAAAATCGCAACAATGCTTAAATCAAAAAGTTTTGTTAAGAAAACCCGTAAAGGTGGCGTAATAAAAGTGGTACGTGAGCACTACCTTCGCGACGATATATGGTGTGGGTCGAAACTGTGTTGTTCGTGTGGTCAGGACGATCCTTGTCTGGAAGCTAGGCCTAGCATAGATTCAGATCTTGTGAAGTATCCGCATTATTTGCTACTGGATACAAATGTGCTCCTCCATCAGGTAAGAAATATTTGCTATTGCTCTCGATTTATTAGGGGAAGTTGTTATTTTAGGCCTACAGTAGGCCTACTTTTTAATTTATTATTTATTAAAATATTATTATTAAAGGCAGTGTACGACGACGTGTAGGCCTCAGATCGTTTTGGGCAGTGATATATGGAACTGAATTTGTATTTTGTATGTTTTCAATTCCACTGTATTAATAATAAGTAGACCCCTTTCGGTGTTTACTGGCCTTGCAGAGATGCTGACAGCACCACAGACTCCACTCACTGGTGGTAGGCAAAAGATTCTGCAAGCATGAAAAATCCACAGGAAATCAGGATACTGGTTACCTTTCTTTTTTTTTGTGCCAAAAATGCAAAAGCCACATGGAAGAAAATACATATCTGATAGCTATTATATTAAGAATCGTTTGTCCGTTAGACGACGGACGTTGACAGCAAAATAGTACGCAAGTCGTCGTAGAGTTGAACGAAAGATAAACACATTTTTCAGGATATATTCAATCCATTTTACTGTATAATAATACTTTTAAGCAACTATATGTTTACCAAAATCTGCTGTAACGATTATTTGCCAAGTACGGTAATTATTCCATTCATGCAAAATGTTCGTAAAGTTAGGGTAGCATCACCAAGTGTCAAACAGAAAATTCATAGGCCTATAGAGGCCCTTCATACCAGAAGAGGTGGTGTCACTATGTACTCAAAAAAAAAAAAATTGTATATAGCGCCCTCTATCTAATAATCACAAAATAGAATACAGTCAGTGGATTACAGTCTTTGGTAAGGATTCGTTAAAACAAGTTTATATAGCCTGAATTCGCATTTTTATAAATTTTAGGGTATAATCGGCCAGTTGCATTTTACTTGCATTATACATGATAGTTGGTATTCTGCCAGCATATGTTTTTGTTTCATATTTTTGTCTTGTCGAAGATCGAACTTATCTGTTGATTGAAAGTGAAAGACTATTTGATAAACTTATCACAACCATCATCGATCAAGAATAATGACAAGTTGCATGCCAAAGGGGAACACTGATAGTTTGCTTGTATATGTTTATTAGTTCCTTTGTTTTTTTAGACTCGATAAACCATCTCCTTCCTTGTTTTAGATTTGTTTTATCACTATTAAAGATGTCAATGTTCCCTTTAACCTACTATTCTTATGGTGCTCTCCCTGCCAGAAAATCCCTTGAAAACCAGTTGAATTTTTCAGTGGGAGGTTCAGGCGTGTGTGTGTGTGTGGGGAGGGGGTGGGGTGGAAGCAGCCGGTGAGGTTATAACTTTTATTTTATTACAATTATGAGAAAATAATATCAAGTATTTGCTTTAAGTTGGCATACTGTACGGTGCAGAAAACTTGTCATTTTAATAAAAAGGTGATGCCCCGAAAAATAAGCCCACCCCCAACAATTTTTGTTCAAAGGGATGGGCTTACTCTATACCAGAGTGACTATAGTATTACATAAATATAGTTTCTTGATGTAAATAATTTAATTCTTGTCTCATTCATATGGTTTTTACAATGTTTAATAATAATATAATATTTTTTTTATAAGTCATGGGTGACATCATCACATTCCATTTGCACTGAGTTTTCCTATCCCTGACTGATCATTAATTTGACATAGTTCCTCCATTTTTTTGCGTGTAAAAAGATCAAAGCTGGGTTGATTTTGCTATGTACAACGCGATGGAATATTTTGTTTGAGCTACACCATTACTATATGAATGCACACAGCCGACCCATAACAACTTTTGCTCTGGTTTAACTCCAGTGAAGCCTAGATCATCCCAGAAAGGCATGGTTATGAGATAACAAGGTGATTGTCTTATAAAAGAACTGAAAAAAATAAGACAGCTGAATTAATGAAATATCGTGAGCTTTCAGCGTGAAATATTGTAGTTGGTCGGTTGGTCAATGACTTTTAATGAGTAAACACAGTTCCTTTTTGCACACTGCAAAGCTTTTATTCAGCATTAACTACTCTACATATATCAATTGACTAACTCTGGGTTTCTCCGATGTTAAAGAACCTTTAGAGTGGCATACAGGCGTAGTATTGGTCATATCAACATAATATAAAAAAAAGCAGAGGTATATCATTACATTAGCCATAGCTGAAAAAAAAAACAACAACCTAGCATTGGTAAAGCACTCCAAAAGCAAATTACAGCACCATTATATGATATAGCAGATTGTCTGATAAATATGCTAATTACTGATATTGATATTGGTCTGATATAGGTGGTTGTAGCAGTTTCATGTCCTAAATATCACCATTATAGCATTGATATTTTAAAATATAGCACTTTAACTGATACTTGCTTTGCAATATATATTTATGTAACTGCTATATAATTGATACATGTATTTCATGTATCATTTAATTGCTACAATCAATGATATTTTCAGTTGTATAGCAGCTATTTTCTGTGGAGCTATATCAGCTATGTTTGATAGTAGTTGAATAACAACAATAGCAATGAGAATAATTAATAAATTGGTAATATCACACACCCTATACATAATACTGTATATCATAATATCTTTCATGATTTGCAATGATATTTACAGTAATAGCCAAATGTCCAAACTCAGTGAAACTAATAATGGGTCAGTTGACCTTCGAACTAAACTTATCTTTGAGTCATCCAATATACCTACATGGCTAAACTTCAATCTGCACACTTAATCATGAGTTCATACTGTACAAGGTAGATCCTATGGTCGTACACTTTAGCATATGCTGTGCGAATTTATTCTGATCAGATGCCGAAATTAGGTAATTTTGGCTATTTACCATGATAACTAAAGTTACAGTAAGTCAGTCCAATTCATTTCAAACTTGGCAGGATGCAAGATGGGTGATAAGAAGATAGAGCCTATTGTTTTTGGTATGTGTGTGAATATGCTAATTGCTCATTTCCATAATTAATACTTCACTAATCAGGTAATTTAGGCTAGTTACCATAACTAAAATTTAGTACATTAAGTCTGATTGGTTTCAAACTTGATAGAATGCAAGATGGTAGTAAAAAGACTGAGCCTAGGTTTTTGGAACGTGAATGATTATTGCTCTAATTTCTCATTTGCATAAAAAATATTTCTCTAATCAGGAAGTTTATGCTTATTAATATCATTTTAAAAATTTTAAGTGAAATATTATACAGTTATCTTTTTATGATTGTGTAGATTGTTACCTTGTTAACTAAAGTTTTTAAGTTTGATTGGTTTCAAACTGTTACTTATCAATCACACGGTGGTGAGGCTATGCTTGTACAGTACTGCGCAGCGTAAAAGACACATTTCTAGTTCTAATACGCGCAGCTACGGCACACGCATAGGGATCACTGAGCAACCGACCTCGGCAACCAGCAATTTGATTTTCTGTATGATGGCAACCACTCTACAACCAGCGGTTTAATTAAAGGACCACAATAATAGTCAAGTAATTTTGTACACTATAGGAAATAGAAGTTAATACTTCAAATATTTTGTTCAGGAAGTAATGGCTCCTTCTGATTCTATTTCCTATGACCTGACCTTGGAAGCGGTTTGGCGCAGCGGAAACGGTTTGGTTTCCCAACCTCGAGGTGCATTTGGCTTGTGTCCTTGAGCGAGACACTTTATCTGCATTGCTTCTCTTCACCAAGGCGTATAAATGGGAACCTGGTGGGGCTGCCTGCTCCTCCGCTGGTTACCAGCAGCAACACTTAGCATGTAAACCCCAATGACCAGGGAAAAGAACTGCGCTTTATAACCGCAAGGAAGAGGCACATTATAAATGCCCATACCAATACCAATACTTTCCAGATTTACATCTGTTCAATGCACTTTACATAAAAAAGATTATAAAATACAATAAAAATAGAAAAAAAAATATAGAGTATTATAGAAAGTTAATATTAATATTTTATAATAATTATGCTTTAGGGTTCTTTATTTAACCAAAAATTTCATTTTTTTTTTTTTTACTACTGTAGAATGAGGAAATACAAAACAAAACAAACCAAAAGCATTGTCAAAACAAAACATTGTTTTACATGCAGCCCTTTATGCTTCATTTTTAATTTTAGTATTTTCAGGCACAATAATAGGACTACAGGGTGTACAGTAGTTGAAAAGGAGAGATCTCTGGTATTTACATTACTTTCAATTTTTAATAGGAATCCTAAATCCCCTAGATGATCATAAACAACACAGTCAAATTCTTCACTAGATCGTTATCTTTATGGTGGTATATGTATTTGTAGAATCTGTTTTGGTTTATTGAACATAGTGGTGCTGTGCATCTTCCACCTATGAAAGTCCCTCTCTGATCCCCTGTATTTCAAATTCTTGGATCCACCACTGACTATAATTCTTTACTACATTGTTTTCTAACGGTACATATATTTCAAATTATATCTGTTTAGTTATAGAAGAACTTGTAAATACAGTTGTTGCTATTTTTATTGTCATTATATTTTAATGATGCTAACTTTAAATTTTGAAATCTTGATGTTTTACTAGGGTTTTTAAGCTGGCCAAAAACAACATTTAGCAATTTGGCTAATTAGATATGAAAAATAATTATATATTTAATTTTTTATTTTAAAATTTACTTTCGTGATGATAGCCCAGAAGCTCATCATTAATGGAGAACTGATATTAAAGGGTCCTCAACAAAAAATATAAAATACACAGTTTGAAATAGATATTTGATTTAGCTTTACTTCCATTTACATTTTTGGCTTCACAGTAATTTTGAATGAAAGTACAGAATTTAGTAAAAGTCAGGATTGGCTATTTGGCTAATGACATCTTAAAAACTTGTTTTGAATTATATTTTGATATCCAACATGGAGTTTAATGTATTTTAGTCTCACCAGTTTTGATGTTTTAACTTGAATGTTGTATTTAAAATTTGTTACTAAATTAAGGGGTCGTGCAAAAACTATTTTAACGCAATTGCCGCGTTATCGCCCTGATCACTATCACATCTACCGCGAGTTCGTTAATG